GGGGGGGGGCTGGGGCTCACAGACAAGGAAGTGAAACCAGGAGGAGTCTGGCAGGTGGACTAGTCCATAGAAAGAGAGGGCTGAAGCCCTCAGTGAGGCTGAACAACCAGCTTAACCTCATCGAGGATGACTGAGAGGTGGACAAAAAGGCGAGTAAGGGCAGAGCAAGGGTAGAGCAAGGTTTGTCATCAGGATGTGATCAACTGCTCCGTGAGGGTGTGGAGGTGGGAACAAGAGGTTGGCAGAAACAGAGAAACAGTGGAGGAAGCAAGATGGGGGAGAAATGCTGAGGGGGGAGCATCAGCAGGGGTGTTGAAGTTCTTTGGGGCTGGAGAGGAGAGACACTAAAGTCATTGGTGAGTGTGGGGTGTCCTTGGGGGAATCAGAGTCATAATGACAAGGATGGGAAGGGGCATCCCAATGGCAGTGATAGGAGTGTGTCAACACTAGCAATATTTAATAAAAATGATTAATTGGGAAATTAATGTTTGTATTATCCTAACATCCATCAAATATTGTTAATTGGTACAAGTATTGAAAAATAGGCCTGAAATTCAATAACTTTAGAACGTGAGTTAGATGTGATTAAAAAGCCGAGAAGAAGGCAAGTAAATGGGACACATGCAATACTATTAATTTAGGAGAGAGCAGTCTGCAAAATGTTAAGAATGATTTTGAGAAAATACAGAGCAGCACTAATGCAAAAATGTGCAATAAACACAGTAAATTTAACAGATCCATAACTCATCCTCTCTGTTTATTCTCGGGAAGAAATTTTTCTAGGATATGCACATTTTGAATAATGCCAAGTTTTCAGATATGCATCTCTTAGATAAATAAATCACATAGGAAACTGTTTTAAGTAAATTCAAGTGGGGAAATTCTGGAGACATTTGGAAATGCAGTGTTGGAATTAAAAAAAGAGGCCCAAACTGGAGTTGTAACGTTGGAAGTTATCTGTGTAAGACGAAGAGTTTAATTCATGAGAGAGGATCAACTTGCCAAGCAGAGAGAACACATTTAAGAGAAGGTAAAAAACATGATCGTCTGAAGACACCAAATTCAGAGGACAGGAAGAGGAAGCAAAGAGGGAAAACCTAGAATGTGTCAAGAAGGTTCCAAGCATCTATTTCTAGCATCTCATTTAATCCTACAGCCATTCTGAGCTGTTGTATACACCTGGTTGTATAATGAGGGCAATGAGAAGTGAAAGGTAAAGCAACTTGGCCCAGGTCATGCAGACCTGTTGGATTCACTACTTCCTTAAGAAGCATGGGTTAGCCTGACACAGAATGATAAACTGCACGATTTCAAGATAGAGAGGAGAGAATTAACGTAACTCGGATGAAATGAGCCACCGCCCTCTACCTTAGTAAATGGCACCACCATCTACCCGGTTAGCAAAGCCACAAATTCACGAATTATCCTTCACCTCTCTCTTTCTCACTCCCACATCAAATCCATCAGCAGGTCCTAGGAGTTCTACCGGCAAGTTATATCATTGTTTTACTACATCTGCTGTCCAAATACTTTGGTCTAGGGTACACTTATCTCTCCCCTAAAAAGCTCCAGTTACCTCCTATCCTGTGGCTACACTTGCCCAGCTACAATCCATTTTCCCTACACCAACTAACAAGGTGAATGCTATTAGTATTTGGAGCATCAATTAATCATTGTACATTGTTGGGACTTCACTGGTTGGGCTGTACTGTTCATTTCAGAATGTTTAGCATCCTAGCCTCTGTACAGTAGCCTCCCAAGTAAATGCTTCCACTTACTTCTAAACATCTCTGTGAGGGCGAGGTGACGCTACCTCACTCCACCTCACCCCATCCCAGGTGGAGAACCATGGAGCCTAAGTGATCTTTTAACGTAAATCAGAATACGTTACTGCCCTGCTTAAAACCTTTAATGGTTTCCCATTGCACTGAGAATAACATTCCATCTCCTTCTGGGGACCCCAAGGCTGCTCATGACCTGACCCCTGTCTACTTCTCCAACCTCATCTTCTACAGCCCTCCTCTGCTTGCTTCAGTCCAGCTTCCCTTTTCATCCTTGGCTACATCAACCTATTTCTTGCCCCTAGGTCTTCATGCCTGCTATTCTCCTGGAACAGCTCCTTCCTTGGCTCTTCTTGACTGACCTTTCTCTCTTTCTTCAGGCTTAAGCACTAATGCTTCTGTAGTTGTGAGACTGCCAATGGCCACTGTGGTTAAGGCTAAAGGCAGGCATTGCTGAGAGATGGGGTGGTGGGGGTGGAAATAAGATATGACATATTTTGAACCCCTGGATCTGGCTGTGCCTTCAGTAGGACTCCTCCATATGAATTCTCAGTACACAGAGCAGTAGCATTTCCCTTTTTACTTAAGCTACCTTGGTTTGAGTATCACTCACTTTTCATGGAAAACATCTGACTAATATTCCATGTGCTCCCTCTCAGCCATACCTGTGTGTACAAGGCTGGACTGAGGGTGGGTCTCTTTTAGTGCTGGGTGAAATGTGACTCTTCAGGATCTTCTTGCAAACTCCCTCAAGGAAGGACTAGAGTCCTTAGCAGAGTTGCTCTAATCTTCCCATTTCCACTAAATATGTCCCTGTTACTGTGCCCCATCCTCTCCTTTTTTTTTCTTCTTCAATCTCTTCTATCTTTTGCCCTAAATTGGCTCAAAACTCTTTCTTGAAAAAAGCAGTCCTCTCCACCCAGTTATCCTTTTAAATTACATCTTATTTCTCCTACGCAGGTGCCTCTCCATTTCCTTATCGTAGACATACCACCAATCAACTCTCTGTAACCAGGATTTTACAACCCCCCTTCTAGTAAAACTGCATCTGCCAGGAGTTACCATGACCTCCAAGTAGATAACTAACCATGGCCTTTCTCAGCCCTCATTCTCATTGCTCTTTCTGCAGCATTTCGCCCAGCTGACCATACTGTCCTCATCTTCCTTGGCTTCTGAGATACCTAGTGGTTTCCCACCTTCCTGGCCATTCCTTCTGGAATATTGGTAAAACCTCTAAGCAAGAGTGATAAAGTGAGGGTCAATGCTTGATTCAGTCTTCTTGGTTCAAGTGAAGCCACTAACTGGTCATTAGTCCCATCCCTTTAAAATTTCATATGAAAGTCCCCATCACTTAGGTTGCTCAGAACAACCTAATGATAGTAGACAAAATTGAAATTGTCTAAGCACCATTCTATAGTGGGAACTGTTTATTCCTTTATGTTAGCTGAGCACCTGAATAGTGTCTACAAATATCCATTGAATTTACCTGTCCAGGTACCCTTCCTCTAATCATTCTGTAAACCAGAGCTTTCACTTGAAGCCTTGAAATGGATTGACTAGAAAGAGTAATCCTGCATTATAACATGAAGTGTATACAGTACAATTAACAGTTATTTTAAACATAAATGATAAACAGATGTAATTAAAGTGAGCTTCCTGTGTTAATTACCAATCTCTCCTTTACCTGGGTATCGGGGAAAACAACGATTGTTCTGTCTGTACAAAGTTAAGATACTTAGCACTCCTTTAGCAATATTTTTGACCTTTATGAAATGAAAAGAATTATTTTCTCATAAGGAAATGGGTATATCCTATGGGTTTTGAGCAGATTCTAGTCTCACTTTTTCCTGTGTATAGTAATATAGCAGGTTTTTGTTCTATTTTGTCTCTATTTTCACTTTGATTTTGCTTAGGGACACTTGTTGGGTGGCTGTTGGGAAGACAGGCCCCACACATGAGCTTGGAAGAAGTAGGCAATAATCATGACCACATTTCTGCTTAGAACCTTCTTTATTAAGGAAGGTCCTTCAGACACTTTTATTAACAAGCAGATTTAAGCTTAGCAAGAGCACCTCTCAAAGTCACAGTTCCAATTGTTTTTTTGAAGTCAAAGAAGGCAGAGAACGTAATAGTGGTGGCTTAGTATCAAAACAGTGACAAGTTGCAGGCCTTATGCCTTTTATCAGACATAACCATCACTCCCTCTGCTTCTGTTTCCTGAAGAATGAAGAGAAGCTGGGATTCAAAACTTGATATTAATCTAGACCACATGTAGCACTTGCTTTGATAGCAGACAAGGCCCCTACCCCTACTCAAACTTGGACAAAATGTGGCTATGTTCTCTCCGCCAATCCTTCTCATCTCTGACCTTCATCTAGATCTTGAAGTGTCTGACTCTCCCTGGACAAGGGCGGAACGCTGGAACCGAAGAAACAGCCATGCTAGGCTGCACGAACTTGGGTGCTTTTCCCACATAGGACATTTCTCCTGAGGCGGACTCCACTGAGGTCACACCTGTGAAGGTGTGGCGAAGGTCATGGTGTGCCCGGTTCTCTGGCAGGGCTGGCTGGGGAACTGCCTCCACCAGAGCTGGAGCTGAAGCTGCAGGCAGGTTAGCTGGAGGAGGCATAGGCCCAGCTGAGGCCGCCACAGGGGTGGGTGCATTGGTGTTGTCTGGTTGAGGCTGCGGTATCATGGAGAGAGAACCGTTTCCTTAGGTTAGCTAGCTATCTTTCTCCTCCTAGACAAGGCCACCCATGCTTCTGGGTGGAACCCCACCTAATTCTCTCACAGTAATAATTTCTATTTGCAAGGAATCTGGCAAAAAAGAGCTACCTCGGTGCAAAAGATTGTCATCAGAGCTGCAGGAGAGGGTAACTGGCTTATGGTAGCCCCTTCTCACCAATTGTCTTGGGAATTGTGAACTTACACATATCCCACAAGCAAAAGCACCCCACCTGATCACTAACCTTCACCAGCAGTGTCACCCTCTTTGACATCTACACCTGCAGCCACTGGGAGCTGCCAGGCAGTTCTGGCCACCTGGTCTCTGCAACTCAGAAAACCACTCCCACGCCCACAAATAAAAAGGGGGCTTTGTCAAATACCCACTAGGATGGTTCTACCTGTAGGCACCAGTTCACCAGGGGGAAAGAATGGAAAGAATGGCTGAAATATCCTCCCATTTGTTGATGGTCCCACATACCCCAGGACTATTTATCATTGTGGGGCTCAAAGGGACAGGGCAGCAAATGCCCTATAATTATTAACACACTGCATAAATGTCAAGGGGCATTGTATTCTGAAGATGAGGGCAAGTGTATCCATGACCCTGTTACCTGTGTCTGGAACAGTGTACAGGTCACTGCAACAGCCTCACCAGCGTTCTCAGTGACTGTCCCCTTACAGAAGCCGTATTGCTGCCACAGAAAGACAAGAGTTATTTGAACTGGTTCAATAAGTGGATTTCTCCCCCAGTTTCATTGATACTCCAACAATCAAAAGGAAAAAAACACCTTGAATTCTTAATTTCTTTTTTTTAAAAAAACTTTTTTGTAAAGTTTATAGTTTCTGCTTACAGAAGATATATAAAATATAATTCTATATAGAATGCGGACAATACAGAAATGCTTTGACAGTGGGAGAAGTCCACCATAATTCCCCAAATGGTGGTAACTCAGGAGAGCTTCCATTAACATCCATGTATTTCTTTCTTATTTTTAAATACTGATTAAATATCATTTTGAAATTGGGATCATTGTGACTATACCATTTTGTATCCTGCTTTTTTCACTTACTATAATATGAGAGCATTTTTTACATCACTTATTATTCCTTGAAAACATACTTTTTAGTGTCTGTGTAATTTCCTATTTACTGATGTGCCATTATTTTATTCAGAGACTCTCCCCTGTTAAACATTCAGATCTTTTGTGGGTCATTTTGTATCTATGATAAATCATCTTTAAAGATATATTTCTCAATTATGGAACAATTTATTTTTATTTATTTACTTTAAAATTTTTATTTTTCAATTACAGGTTACATTCAATATTATCTTATATTAGTTTCATGTGTATATAGATATATTTCTGTCAGGCATCTCTAATGTTCTCTTTAGGCTAAATTCCTAGAAGTAGACCTTATTGGCTCAAGGACTTGAAAGATTTCATATCAGAGATATATCTAGAAAATCTACACTTCACAGTCCCAGCAACTGGGCATGACTTGGCTTAGTTAGGGACAGTCTTTGTCTTTTTCCTAACACCAGGGACCTCCAGCAAGTGAGATGATTTCCCCAAAGGAAGGCCTGCATGACACAGCCCCACAGGGAGTGGGTATTTTGCACAGCCCCAAGATACTGGCTTGCTCTAAAGATGCTCTGTTCTATGACCAGTTTTGCCATCCCCAGGGCCTGGCCCACTCACCTTTTCCTCCAGCAAGTTACACTTGGCTGGGTCTGTGACCTCTTTAGCAATACAGTCAGTGGCAGCCACTGCAAACTCCACGTAGGTTGAAAATGCAGAAGGCTGATGAGAATAAATGAAAAGGCTCATGAGGCAGCATGACTTGGCATGAAAAAGGCAGGGAAAGAGAGGCTGGAGGGAAGTATCAAGGGCCGTGTCATTGCACCCTCTAGGGAGCACCTTTACACAGACCGCAATGAGTAGCCAGAAAAGATGGGTTGCATAGGGTGGCTATTGTGACCTCCTGTTCTGGAGTGCTGTATACAGAGTTCAGGGGTGGGTCTCCCCTGAAAAAGGTGCAGGTACCCACTGCCCATCATTCAGGGCAGAGTGAGTTTTCAAATAGGAAACAGGAACCCAGAGGCCAAGCTTACACTGACCTGAGTGAGAACTCTGCCTCTCCCACCCCAGCCTTCCCTGTTGGGGCTGCACTTTGAGACCCAAGGTGCAGGTTACTCCAAGATGGAGTGGGAAAGTAAAGAAATTAATTAATACCTCTCCCACCAATTGTATAGAGCAGGATCAAATGCAAAATAGAAATGAAAGTATGGAAGATACTTATGCTTTTCTTTTTTTATAGCTCTTATGGAGCATACAGATATTTACAATAATAAAATATCTGTTATTTGGTATAGTCTGGGGGTGAGGGTGTCCTGAGAAGCACATATTCAGGTTAATAGAATTTACCACTTATATATACAGTGCATTTCCAAGTATGCCATGGCTGGTATCCACAATACCAGTTTTTGTAAATATTAGAATTTTGTTGCATTCAAATGTGCTGAACTATCCACCGTATAATTAGATTTTTGTCAGTGATTCAAAAGGCATTTAGGATCCTGCCACTATACGCCTATCTGTGTGAGTAGGCTCTTGCCTTCATAAATATCTATTAAGATGTGGAGATGCATGAATTTCTAGTGAGTGCCTCTAGACAATGTGGGAACTCCCACTTAGTGAATGGAGAGCCCTGGTGTTAACTAGAACTGAGAAACTGGAGACAGGCAACGTTTGGCTGTTTTATGTTAGAGTGGCTCAGCGTGGAGGAGGCCCTGAGAGTTTTTTGGGTCCACCTGACGCTCAGGGTCCTCATACCTTCCAGGACTCTTTTTCCCTTTTTTCCCACCACCCTCCTTGCCTTCCTGTTGCTGCCCCTGCACCTGCTCTGTCCCTCACTGGTCGTTCACCACGTGCATTCCCAAAGTGCCACCAAACTGCCTGATTTGTCAAAAGTTCTCAGTCTTACTGTAGCTCGTTGAGCCCTGGAAACTTCCACCAGCTGAAAATAGGAGCCATCAGTACGAGAGTTGAAAGCGGCCAGTGCAGCCTCTACAGCATGCACCACCTTGGTGTCGTTAAACTGGACCAGCAGGGGGCAGCCTGCGCACACCTTTAGCACATCCTCCTTGGAGTCTAGGCACAGAGAAAAAGAAGAGATCAGGGTTGCAATTCTCCACAGCATTCACCCCAGCTCTGCTTATTTAGAAAGGGCTAAGACATGATCCAAATGGCTTCAGGCATCTTCTCTGCTTCTTACTAAACCTTTGGGTGGCTCCTGTCATGCTGACATTTCTGCAGGACCCCCTCTCATCAAGGGGCAATTTTCACCTCCCATGAGAACAGCTCCCTAAATCAGTTTTACAGTCCTAGAACCCAGGAAACCTGGCTTCTCTTTTTCCTCACCAACCAAGTGGCTAGAACTACTCATGCTGATAACAATGCAGGTTCCTTCCTCACTCTCTCTACAAGGTCAAAATAAGAAGAATCATCTCTACCTGGACTGGAATCACATTTTGCAGACAACACGGAAAACTGGCCATCCTGTTTCAGCACATGGAAATCACAGTCTCCTTCCACAGCCTAGAGAAATAAACCCACGGTGAGGGCCTTGCAGGAGGGCTGGCAGTTTTAGAAACTGCACATCGGCTAGCCATGAGGGCAGGCTGGGCAACTGGATAAATGGGCCTGCTCTGTGTAGAACCACGGTGGAACTGGCTGGGCCACTACCCGCAGCCACCCTAAGAGTGCCACTCACATGGTCCCTCAGCTGCCGCACAGAGCAGTTGGCCACGGGGGTGGGGTCCAATGCGTGGCAGGTGGTTTCCAGCGTGTCTATTTCTATCTCAAACACCTCTCCCATGGGCCGCTGTGGAGACACAGAAGGAAGAAGTGAGCAGTGTATTGCCCTCGTGCTGTTGATCAGGGCAAAGTGTAAGCCCCGCTTGGGTTGGAACCCACCACCTGCTGGAGAGGTGAGGGAAGCCCTTAGGGCTGTGCCTGCGACTCCGCCCCGCTTTGCCCTGCCCTGTGAGCCGGGCCACAGCTGGGCTTCCCGGTCCTCCTCGGCCGGCTGGGCAGGTGCTCAGCGGTGTCTACCGGGAAGAAGGGGGCGTGGGCTTCGACAGGATGATGGGATCACAGCCACCGCTCTGAGCTCTGTCTAGAAGCTAAAAGGGAATGCTGACACCTATTTAATTTTTAAAATTTCGCCCTTCAAGCAGTGCTTTGAAAAAGTCAGCTTTGGATTTTTCGCAGTTAAGCAGCAAATAAGGTGCTTTAGGATGATATCGTACTGTCTCTACCTTCTCCATCCCTCCCTCTGTTCTTTTTTCCTCCCCTCTCATCATCTACTTTTCTTCCTTCCCTACTTCCTTTTCCTTCCTAAAGGACAAGTCCTTGGCTTTGGGCTTTGGCTTGTAAATGCCTGATGCAAAGTTGCCGCCCTCTCCTGCCCCCTTCTGGTGCTGAGGGGAAGAGGAGCCCCTTTGACAGAGGAAGCGGTGTGGAAGTCACTAGCATAGACCTGAAAAAGGAGCTGTGGGGGGGACAGTGATAGGAGAGCTTGTATAACTCCTTGGAATCGTTCTTGCCAGTTCACCTGTTTCTGCATCCTTTCTTCAAGGCCTGCGAAATCAAGAAGGTACAAGTATGCCTTTTTAAAATTTCACCCCAGTTCTTCTTGCCCCTTATTTCTGTTCTGCCTTTATCACTAGCACCTGACGCCTTGGAATCTCATCTCCTGGAGAAAGCTGTGTTTTATGATGTGTAGATGTGCCCAGGTTAACTTCCTGAAAACACTTAGAGCTGCAGGGAACAGGAGACTCACACTCCTGGGTTCTCAAAGAAAGTAACTCTCAAGCTCCACCTTTAGTGAAAACCACAATGTCTGTTCATTGCCTTTTCCTTACATATGCATGTTGTGTATTATTCCCCCTGAATTGATCAGTGTTTCCTCTGTATTTCAGTACGGTTGCAGAGCTCTTAAAACCCATCTGGGACAATCCTGATTTTAGATATTTTGTCCCATTAGGAGATCAGATGTTACTTCAGATATCCTGATGTTTACCTTATTTTCCTCTCTAGATTCTAAACCTCTTGTGAGCACTAACTATGTCTTTTCTCATCTTTGTATTGGGTTGAACCATTAAAATGCCAATATTTGACTGCTTTTAATATACAAAAATGGCAATTTCATGTGGCTCAACCCAATATAGCACCTGACACTGATTCTTGCCCTCAGAAGGATTATACTCAACATTTTTGGAAAGAATTATTCCTCATCAGATATACAATCTAATTTCAAAATAGTCAGGAGACAGATGCCTTTTCCCTGCCTCTCCAGATCTCTCTACTGATTCCCAAGACATGTTTTCTTGCTTGATCTTTATTGTCACTGACTGCATTGTTTTCCTGTCTAGCATATGAGGAAGTCTCATGCCAAGACTTCTCTCTGGGATATAGAGTCTTGGAGGCAGCATGTGCAGAGGAAGGAACACAGGTCTGGAATCAAATCCCAGACAAATGCTTACTAATTATATGACTTG